AACCTTCTCCTCTCCCTCTCTTTGATCTCGGCTGCAATGCTGCGCGAGCTCTGCGCGAGAGTCCGCGGTGCCGAACAGGCTCAACGAGCCCAAGGACGGGCGGAGTGACGACGTGGGGTGGGCCCCGCGGTAGTCTCGGGGCTAGGCAGTCGGAGGGACCGAGCAGTGGTGGGGATTGGACGCCGGCCGCGGCAGGGCCTTGTGGCTATGGTGGTCGGTGGTCTTGGGAAGTTTTTGAAGGCTGCGCCTAGGGATGGCAGYCAATTGAAAATTTTGTGTCTACAAGAGGGACTCGCTTTTATCTCCATTGCTGCTTTGTCTATGCATGTCGTGTGTGTGAAGCCCCGAGTGATGGGAGCTTGTTCTGTGCATGAGTGACGTCGAAGGTCCATGGATGATTAGATGTYCTRTYRAGTGTTATTGATTGCATGCATGTATGTGTATATGTACTCGTCCGGGCGGGGATAGGGAAACTGAACTGGGAAACCGTCTGCTTRGGAGTATGAGTGTGTTGATCCGGTTGTTCCCCTCCCCTCCGCGGTCTTTCCTGCGCTCTCGCACGGTCTCGGCGTAATTCACTCTCTCACTCTCTTTCTCTCCCTTCTTCCCTTCCCCGATCGCCTTCCTTGGAACTGACAGTCATAGCTTTTCGAGCTTATCGTCCCCGTACCGGTGACGTCAACCGCCTGCGTCCGCGCAGACGGTCGACGCCCCCGCCAAGAGGAGAAAGCTTAGATTTCGTCATCTCCCCTCCCCTACGGACTCACTTTTGAGAGAAAAAAAAAAGGTTGCGACGATTGCTGTATGGATTCGGTGTTGGTTCGGATGACTGGGAACGCGGGATCTTGCCCGTGTTCATCACGTACCTCCAATCGTCTCATCTCGCTCCCGACCTTCCCTATCACAGATGACGACAACGTCTATTGCAATGCGGACGTACGGCGCGCGCTGAGGCGGACGGAGCAAGTGTGTTGGCAAGACCTGCCGCAGGCCTGTGAGATAAGGGGGAATGGGTTTGTGTTGATTGATCGTTTTGATTCCCCGACTCTGATATTGCCTTATACGGGTTTAACGGTGTTGCCCTGGTCGGCCGCTCACGACGCGTGGCGACCGCAGTTTGATTGTCGCTTGTGTCGCCAGGGGGACTCGTGCTCGTGGCGACGACTGGTCCTGGGTTACGAGGGAGCGACACGTTTCCCCGAACTTTCCCGTAGTGCGGGGGCGCTGCCCGCGCAATTTCGAATTCAAATACCGACGAGTTCTCCCGCCTCTTTACCCTCCCGGAAACTTTCGCGCGGACTCTGTGAGTCCGACGCCGAGGCCTGAAGGCCTCAAACCACCCACCTCCACAACAAAGACCCGAGGGTTCAGACACTTTGTGAAGTCGATGATGAGGCTCGAAGGCTTCGAACCCACCACCTATCCCCCAAACCCCTGACGATCGAAGTTTGTCTTCCCCCGCCATCGCCCTCTCCCCTTGATGCCTTTTTCCGTCCCGATGCATGGCGGCAATTCATTTTTGCGAAAACCTTTTTGATTTTATCGTTTCGGAGTGATTCGGCCCCCACACGACTCCGCGGCAACAGTTCGACTCCGAGAAAAACCTCGGCCACGAAATGAGAGTCTCCTGTTCCGTCCGAGAGACTCAACCCTTACGGCCCAAAATCCTCGGCCACGCCCCTCCTAGAACTCTGATCGGCGACCCTGTATGGAAAGCCGCAAGGGGACGTGAGGTTGGTATCAGAGCTGATTCGTTTTCGGCTTCGAGGTTTTCCTAGGACGATTGCCCTGTTCTAAAGTTTCTCCTTTTTCCTTTTTGATCTTTTTACTGGAATTTTCGATTTTTTTCTGAGTAGGCTGGCTCCCCGTCGACGGAGGCCCGCGAATAGCAATCCGAACCGAGCGAGGGGCCGGGCACGAAACCCGCCTCCCGCGACGGTGGAACCCGAAATTGTGGGGGCAAACGACAGCGACAACCATGCGGGGATGGCCAATCATCCCCTGTACTTTGTACCTCCTCCCTCCGAAGTTCCCATTTTTTCTGAGGATGACACGGATCCTCGCACCTGGCTGGCGGCCTTGAAAGCCCAGGGCTGGTCGAACCAGTTGCTCTGAGAACGAATCCCCGAAAGGTTAGCCGGAACCGCTTTTGAGTGGTACGGACAAAACCCCTTCACTAATTGGGCAGCCTTCCAGAGGAAATTTCTCGATAGATTTGATCACATCGCACTAGGTCAATGCCTCCGTTTAATAAAGGAATACGCACAGCAGCCTCGGGAGACCTTGGCTAGATATGCTGAACGTTTTACGTACCTATCCGAGCGCTCCGGGGTGGATGAGAAGATGGTACGGACTGATTTCGTCAGAGGACTGTCAGATTCTCGTCTGCGGAAAAGGATCCGCAAGAAATGTAACCCTATAGAACATACCCTGACGGAGCTAATTCAGTACGCAATTAAGTACGAGAACGTCGAGAAGGAAAATTACGATGTGGGCCTGGACTCAGAATCCGACGAAGATGACCCTTCGGGCGTTTGACGCAATAGCTACTCCGCTACGGCACGTATGTTCGAAGATTGCTTCGGGTTGGGTCCGGCAAAAAAAGGCTCGGATCGGAAATCTTCCTCCTCTGCTTCGGCCTCCCGTCGCCCTAGTCAAACGCAAGGAGGCCGGGGCGAGGAAGAAGTATCTATGAAAGAGGTCGCGGCCCAATTAGTTATGGTAGTAGCCCCGTTGACGGAGTTTGTTCAAGGTCTGCAACGGCAACGCATAGCCGCCGCACAACGGCAACAGGCGGCTATGGCTGTCGGAGCCCCTATGATAAGACCGACCGTGGCCAGGGCTGTCCCACCCCTACGCTGTTATAATTGTAATCAACCAGGCCATCTTGCGAAAGATTGTCCGAAACCCCGAACTCAGGGCGGTCCTACCGGACCTTCCCAAATCCCACTGGCTTCTCCCACCGCTGCAGGACAGGGGAGGGTAGCCACGGTAATGGACACAGGAACGACGGAGATGGTGACCCCTGCGGCCACTGAGATAGGACCCGATGAGTATATGGCAGCAGCGATGTTCGAACCCGGGACCATCGGAGTGATACATCACGTCCAACGAATTACCGAGGAAAGCGACCTCGGACCGTGGCGACCCGGGTTCGAAGATCTTGCGGTACCTGGTCCTGAATACAAGGATGGTCATATCGACGTATTGGATGCCTTAAAGGCTCTGGATCTTCGGATCCCCGTCCCTATTCCATATCTGCTAACCATTTCTGAAGCGGCTAACGAAAAGTTGATCAAACGGTGCCTCAAAAACAGGCGCCGATTCTAGGAAAGTCGACAGGGCAAAAAGTCGGTCCTACGGGACCCACCCGCCAACGAGGAACCACAGCCCTCAACCTCAGAGGTGCATGAAGCCAACCGGATAGGGATGATCCAGACCATAGATTCCGCCTCGGAAAAACCCGAGGTATTCCTCCGGGCCTATAACCTGGAAAAGTGTAGAGTGTGATTGTGAGGTCTGGGGAAACCCCTCGGCCGCCATCCTAGACTCGGGATCATCGGCGGTCTCCATTTCTTGGAGATTAACGAAACAGTTGGGAAGGGAAGGACAGGTCCAGCCCTTCCGACCGGATGAACTGTATATATCCGCTACGGAAGATAGTATTCATTGTAAAGGGCGAATAACGAACGTGCCCATACGGGTGGGGCGGGTACATTGTTTGTGTGACGTGATCGTGATGGATGTACAGGCGTATGATGTTCTGCTAGGCATTCCGTGGCAGGCGGCGGTCGGAGCGCGAATGCACTTTGACAGTTGTAAGGTGGTGCTCACATCGGCCCACCCCAAACCCCAAACGATACCAATGAGGCTGGCGGTGCGCATGCGCACCCAGCCGGCGCCTCGCCTCACCTCGAAAGCCCATCAAATCAACATGATCCGACGCTTGTCACCAGACGAAAACGAACCCTCGACGAAAACCGACGAGACTGAGGTACCCGACCGATATCCGATCCGAGTTCAGGATCGGTGGCGCCATTTTTGGCGGCGAGAACCACTGGAAATAGTTCGGGGCGGGTCCAATTGGTCGCACGCGTTCTCCTCCGTGGTGCAGGGGGAACCCCTGCTGAGGGTGTCCCGGATAGCTGACTTTTCAGAACCCCCTTCGTCCTTATACCTCAGAACGGACCCCCTACCTGAAAGATTTACCGAGCTAAGGGGGCTGTGCGATTTATCTTTTCGACCGCCACGACCCCTAGAGCCCTCGGCCGAACCCGAGCTGGACGGTGACAGTGACATGGAAAGCGAGCCGATGAGTCCGGCGGACAGTCAACTCATTGCGACTGTCCTTTCGGCGAAAACCGGCAACTCCTTGTTTGAGGCCTCGCCCGATGCCAGCGCGGCGGTCCCCACGGTTACGACGACGGTCTCCCTTCCTGGGGGAACCGTGGAAGTTGAGTTACCAACCCGTGTTCCGGATGAATACAGACGCCTCCTCCTGGCGGTTATACGGGCCTATCCTGAGGCCGTCAGTATTCAGGACCATGACATAGGGCTAACCCCTTTGATACAACATGCGATTGATACCGGGGAACATGTCCCGATACACTGCCGACCATACCGATATTCCCTTAAAGAAAGACAGCTGGCCTTGGAAAGGGTACGGGAATTCGAGCGGTTGGGGTGGGTCGAACCATCGCTGGGACCGTGGTCTTTTCCCGTGGTCCTTGTGCCAAAACGAAATGGTTCGGTCCGGGTATATATCGACTACCGAAAATTGAACGCCATCACTACCAAAGATGTGTATCCCTTGCCGCGAATCGATGATTTGTTAGATGCCATCGGGGCCGCTCGAGTCTTTTCCAAGTTCGATATCCGACACGGTTTTCACCACGTCGCAGTCCGACCGGAGGACCGACCCAAAACCGCTTTTGTCCTGTTCGAGGGCACGTGGCAATGGGTCTGGTGTCCCATGGGAATTTGCAGTACCCCGGCAACGTTTCAGTGGGCCATGAATATGGCGTTCGCTGAGTTCGTTAACAAAACCCGACTAACCCAGCCCCTGATCAATTTCTGCGTGATTGTGTATATGGATGATATTTTGGTCTTTTCGGAAATACACGAGTACCACGTGGAACACATCGAGTGGGTTTTGCATGCACTGAAAGATGCCGGGTTCAAAGTGGCCTTGGAGAAAAGCGAGTTCTTCTTGTCGGAGATTTCATTCTTGGGATATATCGTCACGGTTGACGGACTAAAACCGGATCCAAGGAAGGTGGCAGCAGTTCAGGACGCCCCGGCGCTGGTCACACTCACCCGGGTTCGGGCTTTTCTGGGGCTGGCATCCTATTACCGACGCTTCATCAAGGGGTTCGCCGGTATAGCGAAGCCCCTCACGAACCTACTGAAGAAAGAGGAACGGCTGATCTGGACGCCGGAATGCGAGGCGGCGTTTCAGGCGTTGAAGGAGGCTCTGACATCTGCTCCTGTGTTGGCGCGTCCCGACCCGACAAGACCGTTCACACTGTACACGGACTGGCAGCCTCAGGCGATATCAGCGGTGCTGACTCAGCACGGGAAGGACGGAAGGGAGCACGTCATTGAGTATGCGTCCAAGACGCTGAGCCAGGCGCAGGCTAATTACGAAGCATGCAAAGGTGAATGCCTGGCGGTGGTGTGGGGGATTCAGCACTTCCGACCGTATCTGTACGGCCAGAAATTCGTGCTGGTGACGGATCATCAACCGCTGCTGTCCCTACGTAACAACACGGACTACATGGGGACGTTGGGCAGGTGGACGGTGCGTTTGCAAGACTATGACTTTGACATCCGCCATCGCGCCACGCAGCAGCATGGTAACGCCGATGGATTAACGCGCCTCCTGCCGCCCAACAAGTGTCCCGCCAACGAGCGACTCATTCCGTGAAAGCCAGAAGTCGCGGCGACGAAACCACACTACGGGGAGCTATACGTGCTGCGTAAGGACGACGCCTGAGTCCGGAATGGAGGTTTCATCGGAGATGGCTGACACTATCTCTCAGCCCTCATCCCACTCCCTCGCTCTCTCGTCTAGCCCCAACTCGTCTTCTGAAACGCACCTAAGTCCCTGTTTCTTTTGTACCTTACCTATGATCCCGGACCAAGAAGGGTCACATCCGGGAGGGCCCAGTTTTCTTTTATGGGTACAATGTAGTCAGTGTCATACGGTCAAGTCTCACGGACAGTGCATTAGAAACCGATGTGAAAAGACGTGGGTATGTCCCAACTGTAGAACGGACCAAGTCCCTACCGAGAAGCGGTATCTGGACGCTAGAACAGCCGACAGATTTGCGTCGAGTGCCCGCCGGGCAGAGGCCTGGACGGACCTTCTCTTGCTACGAAGACTGTCAGGCGACTCGCTGTCAGAACTTACCAAAGCCGAACGGCGGAGAGTCACGGAGCGGGCGCAAGATTATCGCTGGCATGGCCCGACATTACAAAAACGGAAGGTCGATGACGACGGAGAGTCTAGCTGGTTGACAGTTCCACACCCTCTTCCTAGGTTCGATTGGACACGAGCCACTCATGAGGAGGATGCGGTCCATTTTACGGTCAAGTACACGAAAAAAGCCATTGAAAAGAACGGATGGTACTGGTCGAGAATTCGGGAAGATGTGAAATACATCGTTCAGAATTGCCCAGCCTGCTCGGCGGACAAGGTGCCTGTACAGATGCCTCGGACAATGGTGCCCACTCGTGTAGAGCGCCCCTTTCAGAGGGTTAGTATCGATACGACGGACATCAACGTTCCGAGAGGGTCCGTCGATCAGGGAGAACTCAATGTTCTTTTAGTGGCCGTCGATCATTTTTCAAAATGGATCGAGGCGTACCCTATGACCAGCCGGAATTCGCAGGAAGTAGCCTGGTATATAAATCGATTTTTTTGCATGCATCTAGACGTAGAAGAAATACACATGGACAATGGGTCGGAATTTCAAGGCGAAGTAGAACGTCACCTAGTTAGGGCGGACGTTAAGATTATCTACTCGCCAGGGCATTGGCCTCAAGCCAATGGCCTCGTAGAGAATGCCAACCGACTGATTAAGACGGCCCTTAGACGGAATATCACTTCGGGAGATACCCGACCCTGGTCGGTCATTGTGGATCACATATTGGCCGTTTATCGGGCCACCCCACACGGTAGTACTGGGGTGGCCCCTTTTCAACTGAGAACCAATAGTGTCCCTCGGGTGCAATTGTCCCCCTTAGTGGGTACGGAAGCTAGAGCAACACGGGCCCAGAATCGAGACAAGGCCCGCCACTACCTAGACTTAATGGCTAGGGCCTATTCCCCGTTAGCTCGCCGTCGACAGCAGGCCGTAGATCGGACGCATCAACAGCAGATCCGGGACTACGAGAACCGACACGTGTCGGCGGGACCACTGCCCCGCTATAAAGTTGGGGACTTGGTACAGGTACGGAAATCTGCGCGCTCCTCCAAGATCCACCCGTGCTACACAGGCATTTACGAGGTCATGGAAGTTGGCGCACAGGGACAGCACTCCGTGAAGCTGATTCCCCGTCACAACTCCCAGGCCCGACCACTGACACGGTACGCTGCCGCGCTCCGGCCCTTCCAGCCATCGCTAGGTCCCCAACGGACCCCTGCTCCTGTGCGATCACCTTCTCCTTCTTCATCCTCCTCCTCTTCTCGATCTGCCTCGTCCGTTGGTGCTGAGAGTTCCAGGGAGCAGGATGAACCATCGCCAGCCGGAGCATGAGCCCCTCGAGCACTTCCAGACGCCGCTTGCAGATCGCTTGTTGCGGCATCGGTTTAACGAGGAGAGGCAGTTGCGGTACGACATCCAACAGGTGAACGTGCCAGCGCCCGGAGTTGCTGATCTGGCGGCATACTCGTTGCTTTGCGATCGGCTGACATATGCGGGGGTGTACGTGGACGTGACGCAGTTGCCTGGTCGGGAGACGACCCGGGTATTCATTGAGTTTTGTGCGCTCCAGGTGGCACCCAATTTCGTGCACAGCGTCGTCACCTTCATCGGAGACTTGACGATCCTCCCGCAGTAGAATCGGGAGCCGGCGTGCATCTTTGTGCACAAGTACGCGGTAGAAGCGGCCAGATCAGTGGCCAGGGTGCAAGGACGGAGCGGGCACTGATTCACAGCCCAGGAAGTGCTGCTGCGTAGGGCAGAAGACGGACCGATCGCGCTGGTGTCGCAGCTCCCCGCGCTTCTCCCTCCCGCAGGAGAATCGGGAGCCGGCGTGCATCTTTGTGCACAAGTACGCGGTAGAAGCGGCCAGATCAGTGGCCAGGGTGCAAGGACGGAGCGGGCACCAATTCACAGCCCACGAAGTGCTGCTGCGTAGGGCAGAAGACGGACCGATCGCGCTGGTGTCGCAGCTCCCCGCGCTTCTCCCTCCCGCTGCCCCCCTCAACCTCCAAGCTATTCCCCTTGTCCCGTACTAAATGCCTCCTTTCTTCTCCGACACCACCCTCCCCTACCAGCTCACGGCGGGCCCTTACCCCATGCGCGAGTTCTTGGAGTACCTGGTGGAGCTAACTGACGTGGAGTCGCTGCCCTTCGCCGACGAGGACGCGTGGGAGTTGCACCATGCGCTGTACAAGTCGGTGGCGCTGGGGATGTTCCGGTTCTTCGTGGATCACGAAGACCACGCTACCGGTGAGCACTTCGTCGTTTACTACGTCATCACGCGACCCAAGCCAGCGGAGAAGGAAGGGACGGTCGCGCTGTACCCATTCGCCCAGCTCCAAACGATCGATCCGGGATTTTTGGAGCTCATACATCTTGAGCTCCTCTCCATCGCGCAAGTGATCGCGAGCGAGGAGGAGGAGATCCAACCGCGATTGCGGACGGCGACGGACCCGCTGAGAACATACAACGCGGTCGTCATCCCGGATTACATTGCGCAGCGCGCGGAGAGATTGGACGACTTCTCGGAGGAAAGGCCATTGCGTCCTCCCTCATCGTACTCTCGGCCAGCGCCACCGAAGGCCGCCAAGAAGACGCCGAAGAGGAAGAGATGCCACCCGTCGCCAGGAGCGCAAGGCAGCAGGATCGGCGGCGGCGAGGAAGTGATTCAGCCCGCGCGCGCGGCGACGCTCGTTAAGGAGACTATCGTGCCATCACCGCCCATTCCGCGTGTGCCCGACCTCAATCTTGATGGAGTCGGGCCATCATCAACAGCAGCAGGAGGAGGGGGAAGTCGAATGGGATTTCCGGATCCCATATCCGGACCCCCCGTCCTCGCGGGACCTCTACGTTCCCACCAACCACCCCGGGGTGCCCCGGTCGTTGACCTTAGTAGTTCATCCGAGCCGGATGGTCCATCCGACCGAGGTGGACTTCATGGTGGAGCCCGCCACCATTAGGCTCGAGGCCATCGCGGGGGCGCCGCGCCCTGATCCGGCGTGGGAACCATACCTGACGCCCCNAGGGTTCAGACACTTTGTGAAGTCGATGATGAGGCTCGAAGGCTTCGAACCCACCACCTATCCCCCAAACCCCTGACGATCGAAGTTTGTCTTCCCCCGCCATCGCCCTCTCCCCTTGATGCCTTTTTCCGTCCCGATGCATGGCGGCAATTCATTTTTGCGAAAACCTTTTTGATTTTATCGTTTCGGAGTGATTCGGCCCCCACACGACTCCGCGGCAACAGTTCGACTCCGAGAAAAACCTCGGCCACGAAATGAGAGTCTCCTGTTCCGTCCGAGAGACTCAACCCTTACGGCCCAAAATCCTCGGCCACGCCCCTCCTAGAACTCTGATCGGCGACCCTGTATGGAAAGCCGCAAGGGGACGTGAGGTTGGTATCAGAGCTGATTCGTTTTCGGCTTCGAGGTTTTCCTAGGACGATTGCCCTGTTCTAAAGTTTCTCCTTTTTCCTTTTTGATCTTTTTACTGGAATTTTCGATTTTTTTCTGAGTAGGCTGGCTCCCCGTCGACGGAGGCCCGCGAATAGCAATCCGAACCGAGCGAGGGGCCGGGCACGAAACCCGCCTCCCGCGACGGTGGAACCCGAAATTGTGGGGGCAAACGACAGCGACAACCATGCGGGGATGGCCAATCATCCCCTGTACTTTGTACCTCCTCCCTCCGAAGTTCCCATTTTTTCTGAGGATGACACGGATCCTCGCACCTGGCTGGCGGCCTTGAAAGCCCAGGGCTGGTCGAACCAGTTGCTCTGAGAACGAATCCCCGAAAGGTTAGCCGGAACCGCTTTTGAGTGGTACGGACAAAACCCCTTCACTAATTGGGCAGCCTTCCAGAGGAAATTTCTCGATAGATTTGATCACATCGCACTAGGTCAATGCCTCCGTTTAATAAAGGAATACGCACAGCAGCCTCGGGAGACCTTGGCTAGATATGCTGAACGTTTTACGTACCTATCCGAGCGCTCCGGGGTGGATGAGAAGATGGTACGGACTGATTTCGTCAGAGGACTGTCAGATTCTCGTCTGCGGAAAAGGATCCGCAAGAAATGTAACCCTATAGAACATACCCTGACGGAGCTAATTCAGTACGCAATTAAGTACGAGAACGTCGAGAAGGAAAATTACGATGTGGGCCTGGACTCAGAATCCGACGAAGATGACCCTTCGGGCGTTTGACGCAATAGCTACTCCGCTACGGCACGTATGTTCGAAGATTGCTTCGGGTTGGGTCCGGCAAAAAAAGGCTCGGATCGGAAATCTTCCTCCTCTGCTTCGGCCTCCCGTCGCCCTAGTCAAACGCAAGGAGGCCGGGGCGAGGAAGAAGTATCTATGAAAGAGGTCGCGGCCCAATTAGTTATGGTAGTAGCCCCGTTGACGGAGTTTGTTCAAGGTCTGCAACGGCAACGCATAGCCGCCGCACAACGGCAACAGGCGGCTATGGCTGTCGGAGCCCCTATGATAAGACCGACCGTGGCCAGGGCTGTCCCACCCCTACGCTGTTATAATTGTAATCAACCAGGCCATCTTGCGAAAGATTGTCCGAAACCCCGAACTCAGGGCGGTCCTACCGGACCTTCCCAAATCCCACTGGCTTCTCCCACCGCTGCAGGACAGGGGAGGGTAGCCACGGTAATGGACACAGGAACGACGGAGATGGTGACCCCTGCGGCCACTGAGATAGGACCCGATGAGTATATGGCAGCAGCGATGTTCGAACCCGGGACCATCGGAGTGATACATCACGTCCAACGAATTACCGAGGAAAGCGACCTCGGACCGTGGCGACCCGGGTTCGAAGATCTTGCGGTACCTGGTCCTGAATACAAGGATGGTCATATCGACGTATTGGATGCCTTAAAGGCTCTGGATCTTCGGATCCCCGTCCCTATTCCATATCTGCTAACCATTTCTGAAGCGGCTAACGAAAAGTTGATCAAACGGTGCCTCAAAAACAGGCGCCGATTCTAGGAAAGTCGACAGGGCAAAAAGTCGGTCCTACGGGACCCACCCGCCAACGAGGAACCACAGCCCTCAACCTCAGAGGTGCATGAAGCCAACCGGATAGGGATGATCCAGACCATAGATTCCGCCTCGGAAAAACCCGAGGTATTCCTCCGGGCCTATAACCTGGAAAAGTGTAGAGTGTGATTGTGAGGTCTGGGGAAACCCCTCGGCCGCCATCCTAGACTCGGGATCATCGGCGGTCTCCATTTCTTGGAGATTAACGAAACAGTTGGGAAGGGAAGGACAGGTCCAGCCCTTCCGACCGGATGAACTGTATATATCCGCTACGGAAGATAGTATTCATTGTAAAGGGCGAATAACGAACGTGCCCATACGGGTGGGGCGGGTACATTGTTTGTGTGACGTGATCGTGATGGATGTACAGGCGTATGATGTTCTGCTAGGCATTCCGTGGCAGGCGGCGGTCGGAGCGCGAATGCACTTTGACAGTTGTAAGGTGGTGCTCACATCGGCCCACCCCAAACCCCAAACGATACCAATGAGGCTGGCGGTGCGCATGCGCACCCAGCCGGCGCCTCGCCTCACCTCGAAAGCCCATCAAATCAACATGATCCGACGCTTGTCACCAGACGAAAACGAACCCTCGACGAAAACCGACGAGACTGAGGTACCCGACCGATATCCGATCCGAGTTCAGGATCGGTGGCGCCATTTTTGGCGGCGAGAACCACTGGAAATAGTTCGGGGCGGGTCCAATTGGTCGCACGCGTTCTCCTCCGTGGTGCAGGGGGAACCCCTGCTGAGGGTGTCCCGGATAGCTGACTTTTCAGAACCCCCTTCGTCCTTATACCTCAGAACGGACCCCCTACCTGAAAGATTTACCGAGCTAAGGGGGCTGTGCGATTTATCTTTTCGACCGCCACGACCCCTAGAGCCCTCGGCCGAACCCGAGCTGGACGGTGACAGTGACATGGAAAGCGAGCCGATGAGTCCGGCGGACAGTCAACTCATTGCGACTGTCCTTTCGGCGAAAACCGGCAACTCCTTGTTTGAGGCCTCGCCCGATGCCAGCGCGGCGGTCCCCACGGTTACGACGACGGTCTCCCTTCCTGGGGGAACCGTGGAAGTTGAGTTACCAACCCGTGTTCCGGATGAATACAGACGCCTCCTCCTGGCGGTTATACGGGCCTATCCTGAGGCCGTCAGTATTCAGGACCATGACATAGGGCTAACCCCTTTGATACAACATGCGATTGATACCGGGGAACATGTCCCGATACACTGCCGACCATACCGATATTCCCTTAAAGAAAGACAGCTGGCCTTGGAAAGGGTACGGGAATTCGAGCGGTTGGGGTGGGTCGAACCATCGCTGGGACCGTGGTCTTTTCCCGTGGTCCTTGTGCCAAAACGAAATGGTTCGGTCCGGGTATRTATCGACTACCGRAAATTGAACGCCATCACTACCAAARATGTGTATCCCTTGCCGCGAATCGATGATTTGTTAGATGCCATCGGGGCCGCTCGAGTCTTTTCCAAGTTCGATATCCGACACGGTTTTCACCACGTCGCAGTCCGACCGGAGGACCGACCCAAAACCGCTTTTGTCCTGTTCGAGGGCACGTGGCAATGGGTCTGGTGTCCCATGGGAATTTGCAGTACCCCGGCAACGTTTCAGTGGGCCATGAATATGGCGTTCGCTGAGTTCGTTAACAAAACCCGACTAACCCAGCCCCTGATCAATTTCTGCGTGATTGTGTATATGGATGATATTTTGGTCTTTTCGGAAATACACGAGTACCACGTGGAACACATCGAGTGGGTTTTGCATGCACTGAAAGATGCCGGGTTCAAAGTGGCCTTGGAGAAAAGCGAGTTCTTCTTGTCGGAGATTTCATTCTTGGGATATATCGTCACGGTTGACGGACTAAAACCGGATCCAAGGAAGGTGGCAGCAGTTCAGGACGCCCCGGCGCTGGTCACACTCACCCGGGTTCGGGCTTTTCTGGGGCTGGCATCCTATTACCGACGCTTCATCAAGGGGTTCGCCGGTATAGCGAAGCCCCTCACGAACCTACTGAAGAAAGAGGAACGGCTGATCTGGACGCCGGAATGCGAGGCGGCGTTTCAGGCGTTGAAGGAGGCTCTGACATCTGCTCCTGTGTTGGCGCGTCCCGACCCGACAAGACCGTTCACACTGTACACGGACTGGCAGCCTCAGGCGATATCAGCGGTGCTGACTCAGCACGGGAAGGACGGAAGGGAGCACGTCATTGAGTATGCGTCCAAGACGCTGAGCCAGGCGCAGGCTAATTACGAAGCATGCAAAGGTGAATGCCTGGCGGTGGTGTGGGGGATTCAGCACTTCCGACCGTATCTGTACGGCCAGAAATTCGTGCTGGTGACGGATCATCAACCGCTGCTGTCCCTACGTAACAACACGGACTACATGGGGACGTTGGGCAGGTGGACGGTGCGTTTGCAAGACTATGACTTTGACATCCGCCATCGCGCCACGCAGCAGCATGGTAACGCCGATGGATTAACGCGCCTCCTGCCGCCCAACAAGTGTCCCGCCAACGAGCGACTCATTCCGTGAAAGCCAGAAGTCGCGGCGACGAAACCACACTACGGGGAGCTATACGTGCTGCGTAAGGACGACGCCTGAGTCCGGAATGGAGGTTTCATCGGAGATGGCTGACACTATCTCTCAGCCCTCATCCCACTCCCTCGCTCTCTCGTCTAGCCCCAACTCGTCTTCTGAAACGCACCTAAGTCCCTGTTTCTTTTGTACCTTACCTATGATCCCGGACCAAGAAGGGTCACATCCGGGAGGGCCCAGTTTTCTTTTATGGGTACAATGTAGTCAGTGTCATACGGTCAAGTCTCACGGACAGTGCATTAGAAACCGATGTGAAAAGACGTGGGTATGTCCCAACTGTAGAACGGACCAAGTCCCTACCGAGAAGCGGTATCTGGACGCTAGAACAGCCGACAGATTTGCGTCGAGTGCCCGCCGGGCAGAGGCCTGGACGGACCTTCTCTTGCTACGAAGACTGTCAGGCGACTCGCTGTCAGAACTTACCAAAGCCGAACGGCGGAGAGTCACGGAGCGGGCGCAAGATTATCGCTGGCATGGCCCGACATTACAAAAACGGAAGGTCGATGACGACGGAGAGTCTAGCTGGTTGACAGTTCCACACCCTCTTCCTAGGTTCGATTGGACACGAGCCACTCATGAGGAGGATGCGGTCCATTTTACGGTCAAGTACACGAAAAAAGCCATTGAAAAGAACGGATGGTACTGGTCGAGAATTCGGGAAGATGTGAAATACATCGTTCAGAATTGCCCAGCCTGCTCGGCGGACAAGGTGCCTGTACAGATGCCTCGGACAATGGTGCCCACTCGTGTAGAGCGCCCCTTTCAGAGGGTTAGTATCGATACGACGGACATCAACGTTCCGAGAGGGTCCGTCGATCAGGGAGAACTCAATGTTCTTTTAGTGGCCGTCGATCATTTTTCAAAATGGATCGAGGCGTACCCTATGACCAGCCGGAATTCGCAGGAAGTAGCCTGGTATATAAATCGATTTTTTTGCATGCATCTAGACGTAGAAGAAATACACATGGACAATGGGTCGGAATTTCAAGGCGAAGTAGAACGTCACCTAGTTAGGGCGGACGTTAAGATTATCTACTCGCCAGGGCATTGGCCTCAAGCCAATGGCCTCGTAGAGAATGCCAACCGACTGATTAAGACGGCCCTTAGACGGAATATCACTTCGGGAGATACCCGACCCTGGTCGGTCATTGTGGATCACATATTGGCCGTTTATCGGGCCACCCCACACGGTAGTACTGGGGTGGCCCCTTTTCAACTGAGAACCAATAGTGTCCCTCGGGTGCAATTGTCCCCCTTAGTGGGTACGGAAGCTAGAGCAACACGGGCCCAGAATCGAGACAAGGCCCGCCACTACCTAGACTTAATGGCTAGGGCCTATTCCCCGTTAGCTCGCCGTCGACAGCAGGCCGTAGATCGGACGCATCAACAGCAGATCCGGGACTACGAGAACCGACACGTGTCGGCGGGACCACTGCCCCGCTATAAAGTTGGGGACTTGGTACAGGTACGGAAATCTGCGCGCTCCTCCAAGATCCACCCGTGCTACACAGGCATTTACGAGGTCATGGAAGTTGGCGCACAGGGACAGCACTCCGTGAAGCTGATTCCCCGTCACAACTCCCAGGCCCGACCACTGACACGGTACGCTGCCGCGCTCCGGCCCTTCCAGCCATCGCTAGGTCCCCAACGGACCCCTGCTCCTGTGCGATCACCTTCTCCTTCTTCATCCTCCTCCTCTTCTCGATCTGCCTCGTCCGTTGGTGCTGAGAGTTCCAGGGAGCAGGATGAACCATCGCCAGCCGGAGCATGAGCCCCTCGAGCACTTCCAGACGCCGCTTGCAGATCGCTTGTTGCGGCATCGGTTTAACGAGGAGAGGCAGTTGCGGTACGACATCCAACAGGTGAACGTGCCAGCGCCCGGAGTTGCTGATCTGGCGGCATACTCGTTGCTTTGCGATCGGCTGACATATGCGGGGGTGTACGTGGACGTGACGCAGTTGCCTGGTCGGGAGACGACCCGGGTATTCATTGAGTTTTGTGCGCTCCAGGTGGCACCCAATTTCGTGCACAGCGTCGTCACCTTCATCGGAGACTTGACGATCCTCCCGCAGTAGAATCGGGAGCCGGCGTGCATCTTTGTGCACAAGTACGCGGTAGAAGCGGCCAGATCAGTGGCCAGGGTGCAAGGACGGAGCGGGCACTGATTCACAGCCCAGGAAGTGCTGCTGCGTAGGGCAGAAGACGGACCGATCGCGCTGGTGTCGCAGCTCCCCGCGCTTCTCCCTCCCGCAGGAGAATCGGGAGCCGGCGTGCATCTTTGTGCACAAGTACGCGGTAGAAGCGGCCAGATCAGTGGCCAGGGTGCAAGGACGGAGCGGGCACCAATTCACAGCCCACGAAGTGCTGCTGCGTAGGGCAGAAGACGGACCGATCGCGCTGGTGTCGCAGCTCCCCGCGCTTCTCCCTCCCGCTGCCCCCCTCAACCTCCAAGCTATTCCCCTTGTCCCGTACTAAATGCCTCCTTTCTTCTCCGACACCACCCTCCCCTACCAGCTCACGGCGGGCCCTTACCCCATGCGCGAGTTCTTGGAGTACCTGGTGGAGCTAACTGACGTGGAGTCGCTGCCCTTCGCCGACGAGGACGCGTGGGAGTTGCACCATGCGCTGTACAAGTCGGTGGCGCTGGGGATGTTCCGGTTCTTCGTGGATCACGAAGACCACGCTACCGGTGAGCACTTCGTCGTTTACTACGTCATCACGCGACCCAAGCCAGCGGAGAAGGAAGGGACGGTCGCGCTGTACCCATTCGCCCAGCTCCAAACGATCGATCCGGGATTTTTGGAGCTCATACATCTTGAGCTCCTCTCCATCGCGCAAGTGATCGCGAGCGAGGAGGAGGAGATCCAACCGCGATTGCGGACGGCGACGGACCCGCTGAGAACATACAACGCGGTCGTCATCCCGGATTACATTGCGCAGCGCGCGGAGAGATTGGACGACTTCTCGGAGGAAAGGCCATTGCGTCCTCCCTCATCGTACTCTCGGCCAGCGCCACCGAAGGCCGCCAAGAAGACGCCGAAGAGGAAGAGATGCCACCCGTCGCCAGGAGCGCAAGGCAGCAGGATCGGCGGCGGCGAGGAAGTGATTCAGCCCGCGCGCGCGGCGACGCTCGTTAAGGAGACTATCGTGCCATCACCGCCCATTCCGCGTGTGCCCGACCTCAATCTTGATGGAGTCGGGCCATCATCAACAGCAGCAGGAGGAGGGGGAAGTCGAATGGGATTTCCGGATCCCATATCCGGACCCCCCGTCCTCGCGGGACCTCTACGTTCCCACCAACCACCCCGGGGTGCCCCGGTCGTTGACCTTAGTAGTTCATCCGAGCCGGATGGTCCATCCGACCGAGGTGGACTTCATGGTGGAGCCCGCCACCATTAGGCTCGAGGCCATCGCGGGGGCGCCGCGCCCTGATCCGGCGTGGGAACCATACCTGACGCCCCATTTTCAAGGGTGTATTGCGGCGCGATTGGCTGGGACGCTCATCTACGAGACTGGGCAGCGTCCCAATGCGGTGTACCACTTCCTGGTCTTCGCGGCGCAGAAGCGAGAGCGGCAGCCTTATACCGAGACGCATGTGGTAATGACGGGTCGAGGGCCCCGATCGGTGCGCAAGCAGGTGGTGCGAGCGGTGGCGGATCTGGTGCCACGTGTCCTCTCTCATGTGCCGGGGGCTTTTCTTTACCCCTCCTTCGTCCAGCATCATCTCCGTGACGAAGATGCGCCGACGACTCCTGCGGCAATGGCCGCCTTTCTTCCACCTATTCCGTCCCCTCTCAATCCCCACATAGATCACTTCATTTGATCACCTTCGTCTACCTCTCCCCCGTCCTCTCCTTCTCCTTCTCTTCTTCTTCTCTTCCGGATCTAAAGCTCGCGCGACAATACGCGCTGTATATAAAAAAAAAAAAAAAAACTTTACGATCGGGCGAGCAGACGATGAAGAGGCCGCCCGATCGAATGTATACTATGGGAGGAGGCGATGGAGGATGTGGGATGCATCCACGTAGATCAGGAGGATGATCGGGCCAGCTGACGATGAAGAGGCCGCCTGATCATCCAAGATATGATGACGTTAGCAGTCAGGAGACTGCTAATTTTTYGGAACCCCCTKCGYATCACAGATGTGATAAGCTCAGATCCGTACCKCGYGGCTTGCCGTATCCTTGAGGGAAAACCCCGCGGAAGCCCCGAAGTACGGACGCAGATAGAAAGGGGCTTTTCTTTCTTTTTGCTTTTGTTTTCTTTTTGAAACGGCGTTTTTCATAACTCCCGCAGGCGAATAGCGGTCGCGGTATGAAAATCAAGAAACAGGTGCAGTTGGGACTTTTTGAATTTTTGCGCGCGCGCCCAAGCACCGATTTCTTCGCGCGTCTCGCATCCCCGTTTCTTGCTTTGCATCCTCGCGCCATCTTCCCTTCTTGCAGCGCGCATTTTCCCCATGCAGGACTCTTCGTCTTCCCCTACGCCCAGCTTGATCCTTACCTTGTCTTCTTCTGCGAAGTGATTGGCTGCGTAGTTGGGATGCTAGAATCAATGTGGAAAGCGGGAAACCGCGCACCACTTGAACGAACACCCCAATCACGTAGCCATGCAATCCCCCGGGTCGAACCCTCTAACTCCCCACCTCTCTCTCCAATCCTGCTCCTCTGCACCTTGTGCTGCCCGCACCTCGCGCCGTTAACCCGCCGTCTCCCGCGCTATAAATTTGCGCAACCCTCTCCTCTTCCTCTCTTTGATCTCGGCTGCAATGCTGCGCGAACTATGCGCGAGAGTCCGCGGTGCCGAACAGGCTCGACGAGCCCAAGGACGGGCGGAGTGACGACGTGGGGTGGGCCC